ACTTTGGTGCTGAGTAAGCTTGCATACCTCTCCTTCCCTCCTCTCCTCGTACAGTCTCTTTTCTCGTGTTCATGTTTTTTGATAAAGTTGACATATTTGACAGATACACTGACATGCATGCTGACTATACTGGAAAAGGTTTTGATCAGCTAATGGATGTGATTGGCAAGATCAAGAATAATCCTGACGACCGCCGGATAATTTTGTCAGCGTGGAATCCTTCAGATCTTAAGAAGATGGCTCTTCCTCCTTGCCACATGTTTGCACAAGTTAGTATAATTTGTCAGCTGGATTTAAGTTTAGAGTTAACTATTGGCCTGTTTTGACTTTTCCATGATGTGCACCCTTGTACTAATCCATTGTAAGTTGAAAATTAGTTTTTTTTTTAACTTTTAAATTACAGTAGATTGGTGAACAGAAATTCGTTCCTTGATAATTATGTTTTTAACAACATTAATTAGAAGGGCGGGCCTGGTGCAAGCGGTAGAGTCTTACCGCCTGTGACCGGAAGGTCCCGGGTTCGAGTCGCGGTCTCCTCGCATTGCACAGGCGAGGGTAAGGCTTGCCACTGACACCCTTCCCCAGACCCCGCACAGAGCGGGAGCTCTCTGCACTGGGTACACGATAATTATGTTTTTAACGTTGCTTGCATCTTATTTTTGATAATTTTGTCAACTAACAACATTTGCATTCAACCTCACCTTCCAGTTTTACGTTGAAAACGGGGAGCTATCCTGCCAGATGTATCAACGCTCTGCAGACATGGGGCTTGGTGTTCCATTCAACATCGCATCATATTCTCTTCTGACATACATGATCGCTCAAGTTTGTGGTAGGTTCTTAATGCCTTACTGTAATATTTCCACTTAGTGCAATGTTTATTGTGCACCTTAATACAAACCTTATTGGCTGTACTGTATATCAGTGTTCTAGTTTAGACTAGTTTCATTTGGAACCATTTATTCCGCACTTTGATTTTTCTTTTTTAGGTGTAGCAACAAATCTTCCATGTTTGTCATACCACACACAAGTCTTGGGGCTATATTCTAGATATTTTTGTAACAACTTGTGAATAATTTGTTGGATTTGTGATGCCATCTTGTATGTTGTCCCTTTGTTTCTTTCGATGTTTCTTGTATCTAACTGATAGAAGCTAGTAGTCTGTTTTTCAACTCTAACCCTTTGTCTTAACATTAACCCTTTGTGTCTTAATCTTGCAAGATCTTTCTCCTGGAGATTTTGTCCATGTTATAGGGGATGCTCATGTCTATAGAACTCATGTTCGAGCTCTGGAGGAGCAAATTCAGAAGATGCCTAAACCATTTCCAGTGAGCCACTCCTAATAGAACTATTTTATCAAAAATATGAAATCTGCATATATAAACTAATGCTTCGATGTTTCTTTTTGTTTACTTTCTGTGACCATGCATCTTCTAAGTTCTATGTGGGGCCTTATGTGCAGATTTTGAAGATAAATCCTTCAAAAAAGAATATAGATTCTTTCATGGCATCAGACTTCAAGCTGGTTGGCTATGATCCTCACCAGAAGATAGAGATGAAAATGGCAGTGTAATGGTAATATATTTTCTATCATTTCTCCTGGTGGATTGTCCTTATCTTTGGTCATTACAAGTTTTACTTGCTCGCTGGCACAAAACAGAGATCTAGTGCTGGCTGTTAGTATGCATTTTGCTGAGATTAACCTTATCTGTCAATCACAATGATACTGCTCTTTTTGTCCCTGATATCATCAGTCTTGTGCTGGGACCATGCACTGGTCTTTTCATCGATTTGCCACTGCAGAGTCTTGAACTAAATGCATATAGGGGCAGACCCAGTGCCGGAGGCTCCCACATGAGTGGGGTCTGGGGAAGGGAAAAACCGAGGCAAGCTTTCCCCCCGCAAATCTGCGGAGAGGCTGCTTCGAACCCATGACCTGGTGACTCAGTGAGACAGCTCTCACCACTGCACCAGGCCTGCCCTTCGAACTAAATGCATATAGGCTCAATTTTTTTTAGTTGCTTCACGTTTTGCTCTATTAATTTTTACAGGTGGCTTAGCTGGAGCCCCAGCCTTTGGACTCAGTGGGTGAAATCAGTCGGACTGGTACTACATAAAAATTAACTGGACATCGCACTGCTTGTTTTTGGTGATGGTGCTGAATGTTCTGTGGGAGACGCTTCTCCCCTTATTAGTCGCGATTGTGTACTCTAGTCGCTAAGTGAACTTTACAAAACCGGCTCCCTTTTATCTAGAGCGAGTTGATGACTCGATTGCGAGTGAGAGATGATCTGGGCATACCCTGTTGCAAGGGCCTACTGGTGTGTGCCCCTGTGAGGCTGTGACGTTTGCACCACTGCCTCGTGAGAATCATGTAACCGAAATTGCTGTGTACCTGGTAGAGCTCCGTACTGTTTGGTATCCGGTTGCCTTAATTGCGTGCCCTGATTATTTCAGTTTCCAGTTTGGGCGCAACATAGTGGCTTTCTGGTAGGTTTTTAAGAGTTCATTCTGCTGCATTTTTGCTGTGCTGTGCTGCTGGGGTGTAGAAAGTACAGAGCTGTGCATGACGAAGACGGGTTCAAGTGCTTCACTTGCAGCGACAGTGTTCGATTTGGAGCCGTGCAGTGCAGGTGCAGCTCGTCAGCATTAGTAATCCTGCAACTGTGCAGTCAGTTGAGCTCGAAGATGCTGAAAGAGTAGGATGATGCGGCCCTAGCAAGTTTGTAGAGCTGACCTCGCTGTTTCACTGGTTTTCTTTTTCTTGATGAGTCAAGTTTGATCAGGCTTGGATTCCTGGTTCCTCTCGGCGGGAGCCACGAGCCTTTCCATCGCTCCTAGCACTTCCTGTGGAGATTCGGAGCTTGTATAGCAATCAGCAAATCAAAGTTGGGTTCCTTGTCTTCTCCACATGTGCAGCGAATATGACTTGCCCGGCCAACTGGGCAAGTCAGTACCATGGATGGCTTGGGGGGGCGGATGATGGGGATGGAGCACGCACGGCCGTTTGTTGCCAAGGTGCTGCCCCCGCCGAGCCTTGTTGGAGTTGGAGTTGAGGACACGAGCTTTGTTGGGTTGGGCGCCTCAGATGCGCGCCGAGCGGCAGCTGGCCCTTGGACTTATCGACCGGCCAAGCCTGGAGCTGGAGGAGCCCAGGAGGCAGGATCTGTGTTCTGTGCTGTGCGCGACGGTTGGTCCAAGAGCCGTAGTAGGATTTACATATAATTACACAAGAATATATATATATAATAACAATAATATATATACAAAAGGTTCTTCTAGACAGGAGGACGGGCTGGCTTGGCTGACTGGCTGAGGGGCCCTCAGGCGTAAAACAATTGCTCCGAGGATTTTTGTTGCTCCGTGGAGAGCCCGCCCCTACCCTTTGGCCGCCTCGATGAGTCCGCCCGTGAGGCAGCCACCACAGCAGGCGGATGAGGCGAAATAACGGAAGAGAGTGAGGTGGAGGTGGCCCTTTGCGGTAAGCACCTCAAGTCCCTTAGAAATTTTGCTTCTCGTTATATTTTTTTTATCCGTGGCTTGTGCGCCTACGTGCGTAGGCTACTAGTTTGTTTGTTTGCTTGCAGGTAGTACGTTTTTTGTTCATAAATGATTGGAGTCCTAACAGATTTTATAAAGTCTGTATATTTTAAAAGATTTGTGACATTGTAATCAAATCCTACAACAATGATTTTGTAAGTTAAAATCATATAAACTCGGATGAATTTGTTCACACCAGCAAAGATGTACAACGGTAATACATATGTTATAACAAGTGAATATTTTCAATCCACTAAATCATTTAAAAGTTAATGTATATACCAATCCTAAAGAGTGAAACCTTATGACAGAATAAACAGATAAAACTTAATATAGGACTCAGGCTTAGAAAGATTTTTGTTCCGATTATTGATATATCCTATTGATGTTTATAGGATCAAATGGAACTTTTAAGTAGGATCAGATACTATGCACAATTGCATGATAATCAATTTTGGCTCAGTAGGATTGTATTCATAACACTTATGATCTATCGAACACTTAGGGGCTGTTTGAGGATCACAAACTACTATCCACAAACTTGCATGATAATCTTCCACAAAAAGCTGAGTTTGTGGAGTACCTCTTTAGGTGCTCTCACAACTTCACCCTTTTCTCGAAGCAGTGCATGAATGCTTATAAAAAACGTGGACCAATAGGTGAAAACGTGGAAGCGGAGTTCCCAAACACTTAAAACATTGGTATAAAGAAACCAATAGGTGGGGCATGGTGCATCTTGCTCAGATTCTACGACCCTTATCAAAATAGTTAAGGTATGGGCACCTTGCTATTGCATTGCGTCAGAATCTATTATCTCTAGCAAAAAAAGGATCTTTTTTTCTAACACCTATAATGTTATATCATTGTAAGTGTTTGTCCCGCGATCTTAGGCAAAGTGAAGTATGTTGATATTGATGTGTTTTTAGTAGATGAATAGAAGAGAGAACCATTAATTTTATTACAACAAATATGACATCTCAAAAAAAAGCCTTACCTTTCCGTACCAATATTTGTTAGTGTGTCACAACCTTGTGTTTAACATGGATGCAAGATATTGGTTGCTACTAACATATGAACAAAGCTTACCTTTGATCGCACCCAAAACCTTGTTCTTCGCGCCCTTGAATCATGCACATGTTAACCATAATTTTTTTAATTTCTGTTGTGGAATAGTTGGAAGTCATAGATGTTTCAACTCTCCTGCTCATTGCTCAACCAACGTGTAAGAAAAGGAGAGGAAGCAAAATCTGATCTACTCCTAAAACCCCATTCGTAAAGAGGACAATTTCTACAATAACCCCGAACCCTAGGGACCCCATCCAAAACCCCGGGCAATATTTCTATCCCCTACACCCCTCTCCACCTTCACCTCCGTTCCCCAACCTCTCTCCTCGGCCACCTCCCATCTCCGCTCCTCCTCCATCACCTCACCGCCGCCAGCGCCCAAACCCTACCCACCGATGGCCTCCCCGGCGCCGGCGTCCACCGCGGTCGCCGCGGCCAACGCTCCTCCACCGCGCATCGGGCTCGCGGGCCTCGCCACCATGGGCCAGAACCTGGCGCTCAACATCGCCGAGAAGGGGTTCCCGATCTCCGTCTACAACCGCACCGCCGCCAAGGTGGACTCCACGCTCTCCCGCGCGCGGGACGAGGGCGCGCTGCCGGTGCTGGGCCACCGCGACCCGCGCGGGTTCGTGCTCTCGCTCGCCCGCCCGCGCACCGTCGTGCTCCTCGTCCAGGCGGGCCCCGCCGT